AAGAAAATTTTGGACATGTGCAAATATAATGCATATGCAACAAATACTTTATTAAACTTTTTGTGTGATAATTATAGGTTCACCTGCAATTGTAAGAAATAATATAGGGATCCTGTATACTTGTTATTCAGTTTCCCCCAATGGTAACATCTTACAAAACTACAGTACAATATCACAAGCAGGTTATTGGCATTGAGACAGTCAAGATGCAGAACGGTTTTATCACCACAAACATATTTCTTCTTGCCCTTTATAGCCACACTCACCCTCCGGTCTACTCCCCACCCCTTGAATTTGACCTTTGGCAATCACTAATCTGTTGTCCATTTCTATAATTTTGTCATTTCAAGAACGTTATGTAAGTGGAATCATACAATAAATGTTCCTTTGAGTTTGGCTTTTAAAGAATTTACCATAATTCCCTCAAAATCTATCCAAGTTTTTGCATTTATCAACAGTTCATACTTTTTATTATTGAGTAACAATCCATGGTATGGATGTACTGCAGTTTATTTAACCATTCGTCTTTAAAAGCACATCTGGTTGTTCCTAGTTTTTGGCTATGACAAATAAAACTGCTATGAGCATTTATATGATGGTTTTTGTTTGAACTTACATTTTTATTTTTCTGGGATAAATGCCAGAGAGTGTGGTGGCTGGATCGTATGGCAGTTTCACATTTAATTATATAAGAAACTGCCAAAATGTTTCCTAGAGTGGCTGTTATCATTTAAATTCCAATCAGCAGTATATGAGTGATGTAGTTTCTTCTTTTCTTTGTCAGCATTTGGTGTTGTCACTATTTTATTTTAGCCATTCTGATATGTATTGATATTTCTTGTGGTTTTATTTTGCATTTCCCCAATGGCTGATGGAGTTGAACATCTTTTCACGTGCTGCTTTGTCATCTGTATATCATCTGATGGAATATTTGGTCATGTCTTTTTGCCCATTTTTTATTGATTTTGGAGAGTTCTTTATATATTTAGATTCTAGTCCTTTGTAAGATACGTGATTTTCAAATATTTTTTCTTAGTACCTATTACAGAGTCTTCTGTAGTTTTAATTTTGATGAGGTTCAATTGATCAGTTTCTCCCTGTATAGTTCTTTCTTTTCTTGTCTAATTGAAGAACTCTTTGCCTTGCCCTAGATCCCAAAGGTTTTATGTTTTTTTTCTGGAAGTTTTCTAGTTTTACCTTTTACAGTTTGATCTTTGAGGGAAAGCATTCAGTTTTTCATAGTTAAGTATGATATTAGCTGTAGGTTGTTTTTGTAGATCTTTTTATTGTAGGTTTTTTTGTTGTTGTTGTTGTAGGTGTTTATCAAGTTGAGAAAGTTCTTCTTTTTCCTAGTTTGCTGAGAGTTTTTATCACGAATGGGTGTTGGATTTTGTTGGTTCTTTTTAGGGTCAGTTGAAATGATTTTTTCTTCTTTAGCCTGTTAATAATATAATGGATTACATTGATTTTCAAATGTTGAAACAGTCTTTCATGCTAGAATAAATCCCATTTGATTGTGACATATTATTCTTTTATATATTATTGGATTCTATTTGCTAGTATTTTGTTGAAGAATTTTACACCTAAGTTCATTAAAGATATTACTCTGTAGTTTTCCTTTTTTATATTGTCTTTGCCTAGTTTTGGTATCAGGGTGATAATGGCCTTATAAAATGAGTTGGGAAACGTTCCCTTTGTTATTTTTTGGAAGAGATTGTGTAAAATTCGTGTTTATTCTTCTTTAAATAGTTGGTAGAATTCTCCAGTAAAATCATTTGGGCCTGGAGATTTCTTTTTCAGGAGCATTTAAATTACATATTCCATTTCCTCAGTGGTTAAGGACAGCACAGATTGTCTATTTCTTTTTGGCCGAACACATTTTCTTTCCAATAGCAAACACTTTTTGTGTTGAGACTCCATGTTCCAGGACTCTCCACATTGTATATTCGTTGTAGGCTTCTAAGCCATTTTGAGCTCTAGTGGAGTTATTTATTAGTAACTTGGATCAATGAAAAAAATCGGTTTCAGTCAGAGTGGCTTACAGGAAGGAAATTTTGAAATTTCCAAAAAGGATCTTACGACGTCCTAATAATGAGTGTATGTTGGGGCATGGCTAGAAGTGGGTAGAGAAGAGAGTGAACAACATATTTTGAAAAGTAGCACTTTAGATGATTCTGAGTTCCCCACCTGTCAAATTTTGAGGACCAGTACTCAAGTGGGTATTAACACTGTTGTCAAAATTGGGCTGACACACATGGAGAGAATATATATACCGTAAGGGATATTGCAAAGCCCTGTTCAGAAAAAAATACCACCTTAATTGCCATTTTGGTATAACAGTTCAGTTTCTACTAGAAATAAAAAATGCCTGGCATTCTGTAATGCTATACATATTTTAGGGAAATCGTTATTTTCTTCAGTCTGTTTTCTCTCCACCTTTCACAGTCTTCTTACACCTGTGTGTTGTTGTTTTTTTTTTTTTTTTTTTTTTTTTTTAACATAATGAACATTTTTTAGCTGTATTTAGTGGGAAGATTAGGAAAATGTATGTCTGTAAAAGGAGAAGTCCGATTGTTTTACTTCTAAGATATTTTTATAAACCTTGAAATTATGAGAAAAAATGAAATATTTTATGCATTTATGGTCAGTTAATGATGAATATTTAATATATTCACCAAAACAAGGTATTTTAACAGAAATTGATTAGGGGTAAAATACAATCACATGCAATTGTGTTTCTGTGAAATCCAAAATGAAGAATTTTACCCTGTATAAATTTAAATTTCTATGTTTAATTGCAGAATCTTTTAGCTGAAAAAGTAGAACAGTTGATGGAATGGAGTTCCAGACGCTCAATCTTCCGAATGAATGGTGATAAATTCCGAAAATTCATAAAGGCACCACCTCGAAATTATTCTATGATTGTTATGTTCACTGCTCTTCAGCCTCAGCGGCAGTGTTCTGTATGCAGGTAATTTATATAATTTTAAAATTGAAAAAACTATAACCCAGGCTT